AATGTAGACTTCGCAAAGGGTAAAATGGTAACTGGGACATCTGTTTTTTTCCTTGGTCATAAGGGGTCTAATTGTAATTTCACTACCCCTTTGGGTTAGTTTTCGCAAATATGAGATGTGGGTTTAGGTTTCACATATAAATGAATTTGTGGGTTATTTACAGCAATTTTCCCAAAATAATTTAATTTGGCCCACTAATTATTTATTGATGAGAAAAAGCTTCAAATTACATTTTCCTTGTCAAGGGATTTGAACAGCCAACCTCGTCAAGCATAAAACATTACATTACCAACTTAACCATTTATAGATTCATAAAAGACCCCAAGCCAATGGTTGATTAGCTTCTACTCAAGTCTGCCTCTAGCTACAAAACCATGTGAACGAATAATGGGATATTAATGGACTTGTTAGTGTGATTGTAATGCAACCATGTGTTGACATGAATCATGTATATATGTTGTGATTACTTCTGCTTGACAATGATTTGTCGCGGTTTGAATCGATCACATCACATGGCTCCATTTTCAGATCTAGCAATGAAAGTTCAACCGGGTAGGCAATTCCGATTCCAGTTTGGGGGGGGGGGGATGGATTGTTAGTTGGGGGCAATTGCAAAATTGTCACTTTTTGTGTGCACATTTGCAAGAATGCCACTTAAGAGTGTCTATTTACAAAAATATCATTAATTATATATGTATAAAGCCTATTTCTTAAAATTCTAAACCCTAAAAAGTATTTTGACCCATAAAATCCCCTAAACACTCAAAACTAAACCCTAATACAATATAATTAATCCAAAACATAAACTATGAAAAAGTGATATTTTTGTAAAAATTTTGAAAAAATGACATTTTTGAAAAGTGACATTTTTTGAAAATTATCTTATTGTTTTTACTTTGGAGACTTTGTTTTAACTAATATTCGAATTTAATTCCAAAATATTAGTTAAGGTTTAAAGTAAGTTATGATTCTGTTTTCGACCTGGCCTTTTGGTCTTGTTTGAAATGTGTAACAACTTTGACTAGTTTAGTTTTTGGATCACATTTTTTTTGGTTTTATCTAGAACATATGGTAAATTTATCTGAATTATACATTCCTAATCCTAGGCATACGAATTTGAGCCTCGAATTTGGCGAAACAGAAGAAAATAAAAAGAAAATTTTGAAATTCAAAGTTGGAGGTAGAAAATTTGATTTGAATAGGAATTTTCAGTTTCTGATCAACTCATAATCAAACTCGAGCAAGATTGAAAAGAACATATAAAAAATTGAGATGAAAACTAAACTTTTTTTTTAACTAGATTGTTTTTTAGTTTAAAAATTTTAACAAACTAAATATTTGAATATAATATAATCTTTTTAATTTTAATTTTTTTTAAAAAAAAAATTTTAGAAAAAAAATATGAACATTTATATAAATACAAACTTATTTTAGCTAGCGATATGGAACATATATATTTTCTATGATAAATTTTTTTTTTAGAACAACCAATAAATAGCTAGCCATGTGGTTATAAAATTACTTGAAAACGTAATAGAAAAAGAAACCGGCATTGACAGCTATTCCAGTCCCATTAGAATATCTCTCTAGAAGTTTTGATGTTGATTATTGACTCAATCTTACATTGAATGAGATATTTGAACTTTAATGAAATTTTCTTTGAACAATTTTTCACAACATTTTTTTGTCATATTCCAAGATACATTTGTTCACCTCTTACCATCTAAATGGTTTTCATCCTTTCTTTGGTGACATATAAGTATATAATATATTGGACGGTGTGGGTTGATTTTCAATTTATATTCGCGTAGATGGAGAGAAAAATCTCTCATTATATAATAGATTTGTATATATCATCAGTGTATTGTTTAGGCAAGAAACTAAATTTAAACCGAAACCAAAATTTGGCAACAATTTTCATTGTTTGGGCCTACAAATCACACTAATCATGAATGAGAAGGAAAAGGAAAACTAGCGATTTTGAAAGCACTCATGCCACCGTCAACGACCAAGTTATGGCCTGTAACATATTTTCCATCGTCAGAGGCCAAATACAGAGCAGCCTTCGCCACGTCAGCTTCTTCGCACTCGGCTCCTTTCAACTCACCCATCCCTTTTAACGTCTCCCAAAGCTTCTCCTCCGTCACAGTCGGAAACGCTTTCTGAAGGTAGCGGAGAGCCATCGGTGTCGCCACCCCATTCGGTGAGATACAGTTTATACGCACGCCGTGTTTGCAGAGCTCGCTTGCCGCCGATTTTACGATTCCCGGAGTTGTAAATTTGGAGACTGTGGAGCTAACCCTCCGATCACTCCTGCATTTTTTATCAGATAATAAAAATAAACTTTGAGTGTTGACTAAAATTTGGAAAAGAAAAAGGCTGAAATATTGAGAGAAAAATATTTTTATCATTATACGAATAACTGTACCTATATATGATTCTTCTATTTGATAATTTGGTAAGTTAGAACATACAGTATATGAAAAACAAAACAAAAAAAAAGAACATATGTACGATGATATTTCTAGTTCTAGCTAAACCAAATCTTTTGATTTACCTGCCACACTTGATGTGCACAAAATACATCCCGACCCGGCCGGAATCATAACCTTAGAGGCGTGCTTAACGCCGGAGACAACGCTAAAGACGTTAATCCTCATTATCCTCTCGAACTCCGTCATATCAAGCTCCGATATGCTTGCCGGAGTCATGGGTCCCATAATCCCAGCATTGTTATACATCACGTCTAGCTTCCCATGCTTCGTCACCGTCAGTTCAACTGCTCCGGCGACCTCTGCCTCCACCGTGACGTCGCACTGCACGAACTCGGCGGCCGAGCCTAACTCCTTAGCGACTTTAATCCCGCTTTCCGCATCTAAATCGGCGATCACGACTCGAGCACCTTGCCGGAGAAACTCTCCGGCGGTGGCTCTACCGAGACCGCTTGCACCGCCGGTTATGAGAGCTACTTTACCTTCTAACTTTTTGCTGCATAACATAATAGTTTCATATAACTAGACACTATGAGATCGATTTGGTCCGTATAAAATCAGAAGCAGCTAGAGACAGGGGAAGGAAACTTGCCTCGTAGGACAAGTTCAACCGCCTGTCGAGTAAGCCGCTGAGGCAGGGGTCGTCCGTTTGAAGGTTCTGGCAAAAGAAAGATGAGAAAAAGACTAAAATTAAGCTGATTTTAAACCTTTATAAATCGAAAAGAACTTACACATAAGCTGGTG